GTCAAGCCCAAGATTATTGGAGGTGGGTGTGCTAATCTAAATAATTACCCTCGCGGACTCCAGGGCTGCTTTCGCGAGAGGATCAAAATGATCCGGATTAAAATGACCCTGTGCTATGATTGGTCAAATCTGAAATTTCGTAGCATCACATTGAAATTTTATTCAATGAAATTCCAGATTTGACCAATCATAGCACAGGGTCATTTTAATCCGGATCATTTTGATCTTCTCACGAAAGCAGCTCAGGGCTCCAGGACGTGTTCTCTCCCTACCCCGAGCCATAGCCTCAGGTTTACCGGGCACCGTCCTTTCCTTGAACCCAATCCACCAGGGTGTGGCTTCCCTGTGGAAGGCATCACCCACCTGTACCCACCTTGGCATTTGCCCAGAGTCCACACGGGAAAACCATGATCAAAAACCGTGGAAAGGGCAGTCTTCTTAAATGGAAAATATCACACGAAGTAGAAGGGAAGTCCTTGGGATGAAGGGCAGGATTGGAGTTCCGTCTAACATTGCAGAAGGTCGGAAGATCTCTCGTCCCTTTCCCCCGATGAAAACAACTGCAAAATAACAGAACAACGCAAAGCAGAAACGAGATTTTAAAAAGAAATTTGTAACCCTCCCGTTTTTTTGTAATGTTATTATTTTTTTATTCCATGGGCTCTGACTCCGCCGCTTGCCCTTTCTTCTCTGACGTGTCCATATTCCCTTTAAAATCATAATCCCTATACGAGAGTTTTCTCCCTTTTGGATAAATTCAATGGCTTTTGCCCTCTCTATAGCCACACTCAAGGAGGATACCCCTTCTGATTGGAGGGTACGCCTAATAAAATTGTTCCAAATAACAGAGACAAATTGCGCGCAAGCGATTTTTTCGCGCACGTGATGTGTACACTCTGAGTAAGCCAGACGCGACAATCTCTCTAGCTCGGAACCGAACGTAGCCAAATTTTCGCCGTAACGTTGCTTGCGATTTATAAACTGCGTATAGAAATTTTGAGACAAGTGTCCTTCCCCAAAACGTAACTCCAACTTAGATTTCAACTCGGAGTACCCCAAGTTAGTCAAATCTTGTACGGACTCTAAGACCGAACGCGCTTTTCCTCTCAGACATGAGGCGAGAGCCACTGCTTTCGAGGCGTCCCCCCAACCGTTCGCGCGCGCGATCAATTCGAATTGCGAGAAAAACTTGCGTATCGGGACTACCCCGTCGTATGTATCGGGCTTAAGCTTATAGCCCAGCATCGCGCGTGCATCACCGTCCCCGACAAACGGTCGTTCTAAGGCGGCGCGACCCGTCCCCGTGACTGCGTGACTCGACTCCGCGTCCCTAACGGCAGGATTATAAGAGCGACTTAGCTGTGTATTTCGAAGCCGCTGTAGTTCCTCGTCTCGTTGCCGAATCATCTCTGAAAACTCGGCAACCTGTCCCCAGGGAGAAATGTAAGATCGGATAGACATATCTATCAGACGTCGGAGCAGTCTAGTCTAAAATAATGTCTAGAAATATTTAAATTAGATGCAATGTGATTTTGTGTTATTTGTGTTTTTTCATACACAATGTACACAATAGTGGTGAATTATTAATGAAAAATTCTTTTTAAACTGCAAGTTATTTCTCGACATCTAATAGACATCTAATCCCCGATAGCACAAAGATGAACATACCCAGACAGCACACGATATCCTATGGATGTCCTGGGAACATTCTTAGGACATAAGGACGTCCAGAGGATGTCTTTAAAACGTCTTCAGGAGATCTGTGCTGTCTGGGTAAGTTCATAGAGAATTCATTTTAAAGAAAACATATAGAATTAGAAAAATGAATATCTGAAGAATTCTTGAAGAATTAGTCTCAATCAGTTCGTCTTGAAGTATTCTTCTGAAGTTCATTATAATCATGAATACTTCGCGATTCAGTACTGTGAATACTTTAAGAATTTATGAGGAATTATTTGTCATGCGCGAGTATCCGCTAACCACCATCCGGACGTTCTTGTGCAGCGTGTTACCACGTGCAATATTTTGTGTGCGTAACGTTATGTGCAATTAATTTTGTGCAATAATTCTATTGTGTAAAAGAAAGAATCGAACAACGAGAACCGAAACGGAAGAATCATCCGATTGTCAACGAGCTTCGGTTGAGAGTATCTCACTGTTGAGTGAGAAATTATAATAATGGTGTAATGTTACTGCATATTACATGTGTACATACATTGGGTAAATATTTTGTAATCCTCTTTGTTCTAACACTATTCCCCTTGAATTCATAAAGTTTACATTTATTGAATTCGAGATGAATACTTTAAGAAGTTGTCAGGAAAACGATTTATGGTGCATGTAACTTCCTCTGTCACTCTTATTGTATTCTTCTATGAATTCCTAAAGAATTACAATTCAGAAAAAAGAAAACTTAAAGAATACTTTGTGAATTCAGTGTGCTATCTGGGATGTAGAGGCCTAACTATCGGGCCTCGCGCGGGATGATGCAACCACGAGGATCAAAAATTTCTCTTGTAGGTGAGAAGACACGCTGTTCCCTCAACGTCCCGAACGAAACATCCCGAATTTTGAAAAGAGACTTGTTTCCCGTTGGTTAAACCAGTTAAACCGGCCGCGAGGATTGTGTGTAGCGTTCACATGCAAGCGAGCAGCTTTGTAAGTGTGGTCTCAACGAAGAAAGAAAGAGCAGATCCCCAGATAGCACACTGAATTCACAAAGTAGTCTTTAAGTTTTCTTTTTTCTAAATTGTAATTCTGTAGGAATTCATAGAAGAATACAATAAGAGTGACAGAGGAAGTTACATGCACCATAAATCGTTTTCCTGACAACTTCTTAAAGTATTCATCTCGAATTCAATAAATGTAAACTTTATGAATACAAGGGGAATAGTGTTAGAACAAAGAGGATTACAAAATATTTACCCAGTGTATGTACACATCTAATATGCAGTAACATTATACCATTATTATAATTTCTCACTCAACAGTGAGATACTCTCAACCGAAGCTCGTTGACAATCGGATGATTCTTCCGTTTCGGTTCTCGTCGTTCGATTCTTTCTTTTACAGAATGGAACTATTGCACAAAATTAATTGCACATAACGTTACGCACACAAAATATTGCACGTGGTAACACGCTGCACAAGAACGTCCGGATGGCGGTTATCCCAGTGAGAAATGATTCGTCGATCGACGTCGAAATGATGTCGAATCGACGTCAATTCGACGGTGTCGATGTCGATTCGACGTCGTTTCGACGTCGATCGACGAATCATTTCTCACTGGATAGCGGATACTCGCGCATGACAAATAATTCCTCATAAATTCTTAAAGTATTCACAGTACTGAATCGAGAAGTATTCATTATAATGAACTTCAGAAGAATACTTTAAGACGAACTGATTGAGACTAATTCTTCAAGAATTCTTCAGATATTCATTTTTCTAATTCTGTATGTTTTCTTTAAAAGGAATTCTCTATGAACTTATGTTCATCTTTGTGCTATCTGGGTCTAAGCTCTTCTCCCGGCCGAAGTTGGCCGAAGCGCTGGGCGCACACGTAGTACACGGCTGCTCGCTTGTGTGCGTTATCCCCTCTCCGACCACAGCGTGCTGCAAAAGTAGCGGAGTTTGCATCACTGATTACAATTGAATAACGAATGGGAACAGGAGACCATTGCTTTGGCTATCAAAAATTCACGCGAATCTTAAGTTTGGATAAAAATTTCTAAAGTCAACGACTCTCAATCCGCCTCTAGTAATTCGAACGACGTACTTTTATTGAAGCTTCGACGTTACACATAAAAATACCTCTATTAATAGATCTAAAACACATCGTTCTTGCGGAAGACAGTCCACGACATAGAGCGACATGAATAGTGACACTCGCTCAGTGGATGCGTCTAAATACGAAAAATTGGTAAAGAGATTTAACAGACAGATTAATAGGCGCGACAATCTCGACAATCAGCTAGAGAATATTTTCACATAAGATCAGAAATATACATTACAAATGTAATGTCAAAATGTACATTCAGGTAACCAATGCTCGCAAAATATGTGACAGTCAGAATCAACCTATTCAACAAAAACACAAAACGGACTCTTATAGTTTAACATCGACATCCCACACTTTGCCTTCATCTACAAAACGCATCGATGCAGGTGAGATTTTGCAAGTGATTCTGATCTGTACCTAAATCGACACGTCGCATGGAAAAAAATTATGCTTCAGCTGTCGATTTACTTATCAACGGCTTCTCATCGCTCTGATTTAGTTGTGCGGTTTCTTTTCAATTCCCAGCTTTATAAATTTCAAATTTTCAGACAAATACCAAACCCACAAATTAGTGGACAGCAAGCAAGTTTCGGGGCCGTTTCGTCAATTCGACAAGAAGACATTTCTTCTCGATACCTACGCTCGTATCGTTGCCAACAATAACAGACGTTGTCCTAAGTGATTACGCGAACTTGCTAAACCAAAGAGACAAGCACGCAGTGATCAGAATGATTATGCTGCGAATTTTGATCTAAACTACGGCCATCCAACTAAAACTTACCGTACGGGGGACAAATGCAATTTAAAAGAGTTGAAGAAGAAATAGCCCGTAATGGCTCGTCGTAATAAAATACTTTAAATGCACTTTCTCATGTGACAATTAATGCGTGACAACTGCAGAACGATGTCTAAAAGCACATTCAACAAATTGGAACATTGTTTAGCTCATCATTTTTGAATCTGCATTTCACTCAATCAATCAATCAATCTTTATTACACTTCAGCCTGCATTTTACTCTAGAAAATAAAATACAATCTTTCTCCTCTTGCAAAAAGAAACGATATATGAAAAGCTAATGCAATAAAGTAATTGGATTTTACGTCTCTTTCCTGTAGTAAGATTTAATCTTTCCTGCGAGACTCATTATATAATCCTCACGTTGAGGAAAATATGACCTACATCAATTATCAGCTATATCGTTTAAAAAAAAATGTACCGGAGAGGAAAAACAAATCGCGACCCTGTTGGAGATCGTTTCTGCGGTTTTATCTGCGCCTCTCGTCGAATAGTTCGCATTAATTCTTGTTTCGTATTGGCTCAAAATCCCGTGCGCATGCACATTTCAATTACAAAACCGTACGTGACCTCACGTACGCCTAGCTATTTGTGAGAAACACTCTCGTCTACGATGGACTCAAGTTTCCCAGAAAGACAATTGCGATTCGCGCGCGCGTCTTCCTTCTCGCGGTCGGGTATAAAAGGCCTCGCGTTGCCCTTGAGATGTTTTTAGTGCTCGCTGGTGCGGCACTTAACGTGCCTAACCGGTCTCACGTGCGTGAGTTTCCTGCTCGCATTAAACTAGGCTCCAAACTCTTCCATAGTCTTCTTCTGTGGCAACATCATGAAGCGCCTATTTCCTGTCTTCTTGGCCATCATGGTCGCGCTCGCCGATGACGACCTTGCCGGCGAACAACACGAGGTCACTGCCCCAATCGGGAGAATTCGTGGTTCCATCATGACCACCAGACTCGGCAAGAAAATCTATTCCTTCCGCGGTGTGAGATACGCCGAACCGCCGACTGGACAGCAGCGTTTCCAAGTAAGTATCAGATATCACAACTACGTGAATAATAAAAACGTTAACAATGCGTATTAAAATAATGATAGAGCAATTTGCATCCGCATTACTGGCCAATAAAGTGGTACAAATCTTGCACGACTTTTCAAGAGCGCAAAACGTACCAAGCTCGTTTCTCAGATAACACAGAGAATCCAATCCTGTTTAAAATATTAGGTAGAATATGATATTAGATTACGTTAGATTGCACGCAATTTCAATGCAAATACATATAAGAGTCTTATTAATTTAGATTGAAATTGCACGTAGCCTAATATTAAGTTAAAGTATGTTATCAGCAAAATGTTTGTGACAAAAATATGTGCAAAGTTGTCACAATTGTGCGAAAATCATATACATTTTTATCGCAATTGTTGCCGCATAGTTGCTGTACTCAGTTTGCGTGTTCTTTTTTCTTGCAATATTGCACCAAAGGACTCGCCTTAATCGGCAACCTGCATGCACATTTTTTAGCAAATTAGCAACAAAATACCGGCAAATTGTTAACTGGAAAATTCTTTCTCCATCCTATTTCTGTTTTAAAAATATTCTTAACAGTTCAAAAGAAATTGGCTTTTATGTCATCGATTCCGAGGTCTTTTTTGGGTACAAAAAGTTATTTTTACTATTTACTCTATACGAATTTATACCGAAAAAGAACTTTTATGGAGTTAATTTTCAACAAATGATGCTGATTCACGAAGAGTTTTAAAGAGTGAATTTTTAAAAATTCACTATTGCTATTCGAGTACAGTTTGTGGCATGAAATATGAATGTTGTTTCATAAACGGCCGTGGTCCGTCCAGCTAAAATAGCAAATTTTTGGTAAGAAAACAAGGCAAATCTCGAGTCAAACCTGACCGAATGTTATCTTTGTTTTTTCCAATTTTATTTCTTCTAGATCGCAATTCCGGCTGCGGATTGGAGCGATGTTTTCGATGCGACGAAAGAAGGACCCGCCTGTCCAGCGATACACGAACAGAATATAATGGAGGATTGTCTTCGTGTGAATGTCTACACAACGAAAGTGAGTAATGCAACATACGTTCGCACTAAAGAGAGTATGAAGTCACTAATTGAACAATTATCTTGATCGCAGTTACCGTCAGAGAACGATCCCGCGAAGAGGCCCGTGCTGGTGTTCTTCCATCCTGGCGCGTTTTACTTATTCTCGGGACAGAGTTCTAACTTTGGACCTCAGTATCTGCTGGACAAAGACATCGTCCTCGTCACCGTCAATTATCGTCTCGCGGCGCTAGGTGAAGTCCCTTTCTTTCATTGCCTTTCAGATGAATTCAAACTCTAAGCGATAAAATTGAGGTGAAAAGTTCAAATTTCAAGGAAAACATTTGGTTCATAAAATTTATTCTCGGCAATCACGAGTCTATTGCTCGTCATTCGAAGATAACGGAACGTTTTTTTTCTGTCTAAGAACCTGTCTGTGCTTATCTGCGTCAGGATTTTTGAGCACCGGCGACTCGAAGGCACCGGGCAATTTGGGCTTAAAGGATCAAGTCGTGGCGCTCCGATGGGTCCAGAGGAACATAGCCGCCTTCGGCGGCGACCCCGACAGCGTCACTATATCCGGTTACAGCGTCGGCGGATCGAGCGTAATATTGCACATGGTCTCGCCAATGTCCGGAGGATTGTTCCATCGAGCGATCATGATGAGCGGCTCGTTGAAGATAGAACCGTACCCGACTGAGCAGCTGCACTTGGCAAAGAAGCAAGCCGAATTACTAGACTGTCCCACCGACACCACTGGCTCTATGCTGATCTGTTTGAACTCCAAACCGGTGGAGAACTTCACAGAGACCATACCCAAGTTCTTTGTAAGGAAAATTACATACAGGACGAAATTGATAAATAGAAATTAGTAAATGAGATTAAATAATGAGAATAAAGGCTTATTGTCGCCGGTACATAAGTAAGAAATGTAGAAAAAATTGCTAAACGACGCAACTGGCAATTTTCTCTAATTAAAATTGCCCCAGTTGCATCGTTTAACAATTTTTCTACAATACATTTGAAATTAAATAATGTTCCTGTCCAACGATAGAAACAATATTAATGTCGTAGAAAAATGAAGAAAGGCAAACGGAATGATGCGCGCTTTAGTTTTAAGCGATTAGATAAAGCAAAAACTTGAGAGTAAAAAGTAATCTTTAACGTACTACGACACATTCTAGGAATGGTACGGTCATCCAATTTTAATATGGATGCCCGTAGTGGAACCTGAAGTTCACGGCGTAGAAAGATTCCTGCCCGAACAGCCCATTGATCTTATTAGGCAGGGGAAGTTCCACAAGGTTCCGCTAATCGCAGGAGTTACTAAAAACGAGTTTGATGGTGTGGTCGCCTGTAAGAATCTTCTATTTGTATCTTCTTGTAGTTTTCCAATTGATTCTCAGGTTACGAAGTTAGTGGCTAAAATCACAGAAATTAATAAATATAATTACAATAATAAAATACACATATTCTGTTTTAGACGTCAGCGAGCAACACAGTCTCGGAAATGACTCGTACGTGGATGACTTGAACAATGACTGGTATAGACTTGCACCGTTAAATTTCATGTATGAGCCAAATACACTTCAGTCCAGAAACATAAGTGCCGAATTGCACCAATTTTACTTCGGCGACAAACCGATTGGTCCAGACACTTACAATGGTCTCGCACACGTACGTAAATTGTTACAAAACTATATTATAATATGAAAAATAGTAGCATGTTTAGGATAATACTAAATATTGTTAATATAGCGATATAAATAAAATTAATCGCAATTATATAATTATGATCAATTGTATTCGTATGTGATTCTATTTCAGATCAATACCGATGGCATTGTTGTATACCCAATGCATCGTTCTGTAAATTTGATCGCAGAAAACACCGACCAACCCGTCTACTTTTATATGTCTTCTTACCAAGGGCGATACAGTTATGTCATGTGGAACAAAACCACACCATACGGTATTAATTTTATTCTTGCAGTTTACTTTTTAATTCAAATTGTTTCATTCAATTTGTTCAGACTGTTTTATAACACTTCATCGATTTGATCTTTATGACTTCGGCATAAATTACGGCATAATTATATGCCTTCTTACCAAGGACGATATAGTTACGTCATGTGGAAAACCACACTAAACGGTATTAATTTTATTCTTGCAGTTTACCGTTTAATTCAAATTGTTTCATTCAAATTGTTCAGACTGTGTTATAGCACTTCATCGATTTGATCTTTACGGCTTCGGCATAAATTATCTAAATTTATCATTTATTTTATCATTCAAGGCGTGGCGCATCATGACGATTTACAGTATCTGTTCTTTATGAAAGTCAAATTTCCATTCTTCGAGAACGATGACCCAGAAATTCCTACAGTGGAGCTTATGACAAGCATGTGGTCGAATTTCGTTCAAACTGGACAGCCGGTACTTCCAGCTTTAGCTAAGAATGTTACATGGGACCCGTACTTACCAGAAAGGGACAACTATTTAGACATCTCCGAGGAACCAAGAATGAAGACAGGACTTTATCCCGACAGAATGAAAATATGGGACAGTTTGTTTCCTTTAAGCTCGAAATAGAAATCAACATCCAAAATCAATTTTGCAGTGTGCAACACATGCATATACCAGTCCGATTAATTCATTAAATACACACATCAATCCCTATTACTCAATATCCTATTAAAATAAACGCAGATACAGTTACGTTATAATTTTATATATCTTATTTATTAAAAATGTTTCTTTTTCAGTAAAAAATTATCTCTGCAAAACTATAATACTTACAAAGATATTTTCTAATATTGACTAACGAAGTTTTAATACACCACTGCAAAGTACGTTATACTGGCAAGTTATGAAATTATTACACTTAAAATTTTATGGTCCCTGATTTTTCGCTGCAGTTATCCTTGTTAATAAGGTCAAGGTGAGAAATGACAGAGAATTCTTGCGTGCCATTTTTAAATAAAAAAATACTTGGATGAAGGAACACTTCAGGTCTCTTGCAAACTTGTAAAATATTGCGGAAGCTATGTTCTTCCTTCGACAGTTAATAAACAGCTGTAAAATGAACGCGATACGAAGCCAAGTCATGCAGATTATATGCAAATGCGTAATTAGGCTTCGTGTGACATTCATCTTGCTGCTGTTTATTAATTGTCAAAGGAAAGGGATAGTTTTCCAAATATTTTATAAGTATACTAGAGCAGTTCAAAATCTTTTTTTCATCATTTCAGATAAATATCTTTTTTGAAAATGGCATGCAAGAATCAACGTGTCAAATCTTCTAACCTAAAAAATCATTAAACAGGAACAACTACAGGGATTAGGAACCCTAAGTACAAAGGACCGCTAAGTATATATAGTATAACAAATGACAAAAGTTATATAAAAATTTACAAAAAAAGTGCACATTTATATCTTCGGATCTGATGGTTGCAACTTCACCAGAGGCTCGCTTAATTCCCACAATTTCTTGCCCTTAGCAGGATCTTTCACAGCGTTCGATAATCCATGTTCCTAAAATACATTTACAGAGTGCTTTAAGAAGAACCGAAAGAAAGAATGTTTAAATTGAAAGAGTAACAAAAAGTTATGAATATACAGGGCGTCTCATTTTAAATGATCCATGCAAATATCTCCAAAAATATGAAAGATACGGAAAAACGTTTCAAACAAAAGTTGTTTGGTTCGAAAACGGACACAAGGTTGTGCCATTGACTTGACCTTGCATAGTCATTTGAAGGTCACGTGAAGGTCATCTTCAATTTTTTAAACGAAACTACCTATTGTTTATTACACTATCTTGTTCTACTAATTAATATGAACAACTTTTGTCTGAAACATTTTTCGATTTGCCTAATTCTTTTTGAGATATTCATGAGAAAATTTATAACTTTTTCAATGTTCAGCTTATGATATCTCAATAACTGTTTGTTACGGAGGGAAAAGTAGTACAGGACTTTTTTACTTAATGTGGTCTCAGGAGTATACTGTTGAAATAGTGTTAAAAGTAATGAAAATTATTTATTACATTTGTGTATGTAAATTTTGGGTAAACCTTCGGAAAACCCACGCATATGAAATAAGGGATAACAACACTCAATTCCTACTTATTTTTGTGTTCTGAACATGAATATGTAACTTAGACATGGCGGTCGGAACAAGAAACCAATGAAAAACCCATAAAAATTATGGTTTTTAACATTTATCTCACCAAATATCAAAAATTTTGAAAAATGTTTTAAATAAAAGTTGTAGATCTCTTCGAAATATGCATTTTATATTCTATTCATTTTTACTGTACGAGTGATAGTTTTCGAGAAAAAGGATGGACTTCAATCTGTCCTCCAAATCTAAACATGTATTATGTTGCAGTACATGTACACAAAAGGAACAGAAAAACGCAAAAAGGCCAGCAAAAATCAACGTTAGCTGTATATTTATGCTACAGTGTGTTATATCTTAACGAAGTGGAGCCCCCCCAAGGGGGGGCGGAACATACTGTCTCCACGCATGTATTTCCGCCGTTGTACTGTTCCACATGGGTTTGCAACTTTCCACGTGAAGCGAGATCCACTCCACACCTCTGACATAGGGTGGGTAGGGTTATTTTTAACGAGGTGAAGCCCCCCCGAAGGGGGGGGGCGGAACATACTGTCTCCACGCATACATTTTTCTACCCGCATATAAGTCACTCCCCTCCACCAAATGTAGATGGAAAAATGTATGCGTGAAGACAGTATGTTCCGCTCCCCCCTTCGGGGGGCTCCACTTCGTTGAAAATAACCCTACCCATCCTATGTCAGAGATGTGGAATGGATCTCGCTTCACGTGGAAAGTTGCAAACCCATGTGGAACAGTACAACGGCGGAAGTACATGCGTGGAGACAGTACGTTCCCCTTCGGGGGGGCTCCACTTTGTTAAGATATAACCTGACCCAAACTATGTACGAAGTGTGGAGTGGATCTCGCTTCACGTGAAAAGTCGCAAATCCATATGGAATCGTATATGTACTACAAAGCACATGCTTAGATGAGAGGACAGATATAAGATTTAGAATCCATCATTTCTCTCGAAAACTATCACTCGTACAGTAAAAATGAATAGGACATAAAATGTATATTTTAAAGAGATCTACAACTTTTATTTAAAACATTTTTCAAAAGTTTTGATATTTGGTGGGATAAATGTTAAAAACCATAATTTTTATGGGTTTTTCATGGTTTTGATGGGTTTCTTGTTCCGACCGCCATATTTAAGTTACATATTCATGTTCAGAACACAAAAATACATAGGAATTGAGTGTTGTTATCCCTTATTTCATATGCGTGGTTTTCCGAAGGTTTACCAAATTTTGTGTGTTACATTACACAAACATTTTCAATAATTGGAGCACTATTGCAATAGCATATTCCTGAGACCAAATCGAGTAAAAAAGTACTGTACTACTTTTTTCTCCGACAAACAGTTATCGAGATACCATAAGCCAAATATTGAAAAAGTGTTGTCAATTTTGTCTTGAATATTTCAAAAAGTATTAGGCAAATGAAAAATGCTTCAGACAAAAGTTGTTTATATTAATTAGTAGAGTAAGATAGTATAATAAACAATAGGTAGTTTCATTTAAGAAATTGAAGATGACCTTCACGTGGCCTTCAAGTGACTATCCAAGGTCAAGTCAATGGCACCACCTTATGCCACCCGTTGAACTAAACAACTTTTGTTTGAAACGTTTTTCCGCATCTTTCATATTTCTGGAGATATTCGCGTGGACCATTTAAAATGAGACACCCTGTATATTGCTGAAAGTTTTAAAATATTGAGGCTCTTTCGAGAAAATCAACAACAATTCTTACAGCACAGTCCATGAAGTATTTTCCTGAAACTCTATTAAGTTCGCTGGAAACTGCGAGATGAATGGTCGTCTGTGCGCCTTGCTTGGGCGTTTTGAAGAAGACCTTAACTATTAGTTTCAAACCCCAGGATAACGGGGCGGGTACGTTTCGCCAAATTCCGCTGTCTATCATCCCGGGGTGCAGGCAATTTGCCGTCACTCCCGAGCCCTCTAGACGTCGCGCCAGCTCCAGTGTGAAGACTATATCCGCATACTTCGATACGTAATACAGATACGCCGGCAAGGACGACGTTGGATTGATATTGTCAAGATTTAAACTCGCCAATCGATAGAGCTCTGACGCAACCATTACGATGCGACTCGGTGTCGATCGTTTCAATAAGTCTGTAAATAGCAAGATTCGTCTTGGATTACGTACTTACATATACAGAAGGATACCTTGTACTATTTTCCTGGCTTGACGACGTTAATAATAATAATAATCTGCTGTGATTTATAATAGCGTTTCTTAGTACTTGTAAACGCTTTGCGTAAATAATGAAACAAAACGGGATATTCTGGTAAAGTGTTTCTCGTAAGATTTTCCTTTAGTCACCTTTTCGCCATTTATTTCTTTACTAGATCCGACACACATAATAGATCTTGCATAGTAAATTATTTTGCAATTTAAATTCCTTTAAAGCTTCGACCATGATGTGTCAATATAAACTTAATAATTAACTTTGAATACCCAGTGAGAACACTAACATCGAGTCAACGTCGAGTCAACGTCAATGGGATCAAAACCAGGTTCCAATCATCAGTTTTCGAAAAATAATTAAGTTTTGGAACCTTATTTTTTTGATTAAGTTACTGCGTTCAATGTTTTGAATCCTTTTAACATCTTATTGGAGAGAACTGCCGAGTTAACTTATTTAATACAAAATTTAATATGAAAATTAAGTCCCAAAACTTTTAATTATTTTCGAAAACTGAAATGGTTGCGACGTGGTTTCGACCCCATTGATGTTACTCGACATTAGTGTTCTCGCTAGGTAATTAAACGTAATGTGCTAAGAGATCGAATAAAGAAATATTCTATTGTTATTCCACACTAATTAAACGCATTGGCGTAACAAACGAATCAGTGAATACGTTTTTGCGTTATAATTTCTTATACCGATTAAAAGGTGCGTGAGTAAAAATGGCCCAAAGTAATTGGTAGCCATAGTCTGTTCTAATCCGTCTTCCGTCACTTTCTTCCTGAAAGTCTCCGCAGTTCCAGCATTATGAATCAACACGTCCAATCTCCCTTCCTCTTGATTTATTTGCGACGCAAACTTTCTGATCGATTGCAACGATGACAGATCCAATTTGCGGACGACAATGTTGTTATTGTTTGATTCTTTCACAATCTCATCTGTATAAATATATGTGTATATCAGACATATCATTTGTTACAGAATACGTAGAAAAGTACGGAAAATTTAGAGTACACATTGCTTCATATTACAATAACACTTTTATATTTAAATTCAAAAGCTATTAAAAATAAATGGCTTTTTGTTCCAACAAACAGATAATGTAGAATTATCGCAACAAACTTTATATGCTTCTTTGTGCTTTTTCCTCCAGTAATTTGTAAGCGGACAAAATGCAATACCTTGATTTATTGTTTTTAAAATAGAAGCAAATTAAAAACTTCGCGTTGGTAAATATGAAATATACAATAAATCTGTATACACATGTGTATCTCATTTTTATGTACTATTCGACCTGCATGATTGTTAGATCGCGACATTGCGAAATAAATTAATGACAAACGAGGAAATGCACCGTTTAAAAAATTATGCAAGTAGCCTAGATACACTTTGCACAATAAATGTATAGCAAGACCTTGCTCAGTGACTACATTTACAATTATTAAGCGACTTCGTCACCTCTAATTATAAGCTAATGTGCGCGCTACTCATTCATAAAAACTTCTGTCGCAATAATATTATAATTATAAGTTTTCAAATCACAATCAATTAAGTTCAGTAAATTAGGTTCAGCACACAGATGCTAACTCGTAGCGTCTTTTTACACTTAAATCTGTATAACTCTCTAGAAGGATAAGCAGAAGTTTTTTTGCAATAATGACGCGTTTTCAAAGAAGATCGAGAGATAACCAGAATAATTGTCTCATTCCTATCGTGGTTATTTCCACTCGACAATGTTATTAGAATAGTCATTTTAATTGCGAAACCTTTCAGCTGATTAGCAGTGTCCGTGTTTCTGCAGGCCATAATGATCCTCGCGCCTCTCTTGGCAAGATCCTTCGCTGTCTCCTTACCAATACCGGAGGTACATCCGGTGATTATCACTGTTTTACCATCCATTCGGTTTTTACTCTTGCAAATGCCCAAAGTATAAAAAACGTACAGGCGGAGACCCACCAGGAGCAATATCGCGCCACTCGAGACAATAGCCGCAATCCAATAAAGCACCGTCGTGCAAGAAGTGATATTCAATATCATGTTATCTAAACAAAATTATACAAAAATATCAGATTAAAATGGAATGTTAATTAATGTACTTTTTGCATTGTGACGTGTTATTGGCAAATGTATTATATTTTACTAAAAAGAGGAGAGAAAAGGGAATGATAAGGAAAAAGAAAAATTATTTCTAAAATACAGACACACTAATATTAGAGCAATTGGTATAAATGAAAAACTTGTGCTAATTTTTCCGTAATATTAATTTCTCTAGTAGATGTTATTACCGGTTTAGAGAGAGAGAAAGTGCATCAAGATGCGTCTACTTGAACGTGAATTTTTTGTTCCAAGCAGACGCATCTTTGCATTTACATTTTTACGACTTGGCCGAGACAGCTCGAAAGCATCCGGATTCTACGTAACCGCAGCGTACAAGGTCATTGACCATGTATACCGTTTTACAGACACCGAAATCATTCCTCAGTGCGACTTTATCACACTGGACGCACGCTTATGCTTTGCGAAAAACAGGATAAATCAGTACCTAAAATAGTTTCTTTGAGATGCATCGAAACGACTTGTCGTAAAATGATAAATACAACCTTATTAAAGGCAATCAATTAACCAATTTTATAATAAATAAATTTTGACGTAACGTTGAATTGATTAATTTATAAAATTGTTCTAACCCGTATAGCACAGAAGCTCGCTTTGCAGCAACGTTGCAAAGTTACAGAATCATTCTATAAACATGCAATATAGTTCGAACAATAGTGCAGCAACATTAAAAAAATATTCTAAATCTTTTGAACCCCATCCTGTAACATTTACTATTGCTTATGACTAAACAAACTTATTCTTTTTACAGATAACGTATAATTATTACAACAAACTTCGTATGATTTTTTTACCCTTTTTTTCCAATAATTTATAAGTTGAAAAATGTAATACCTTGATTTATTATTTTTAAAACAAAACCAAATAAAAATTGTAACGGAAACATTTTTATTACGACACATTTTTGCCACCAGAAATAAAGATCTGCGATTACATTTAATAAGAATATAATTTTTCTCCAAATCACGGACTATTAAAATAGATTTTTTTTTATTACTGAACAACACGTGGAATAATAATGTCCTTGTTACAGTTTGTGTGCGCTTAAATTATTTGTTTAAAATTGTTTCTTGTCTTCGAAGAAAAATGTAGAGTTATAGTTAAAAATTCTTATTACAATATATTTTTGCAACTAGGAAAGGCTTTCAGTGATTGATAAGAGTATAATTTTCTTGCAAATTAAAAATATTAGAAAAATGAGAAGCAAATTGTATTTTTAATAATAAAATAACATGCGGTATGATAATGTCTCCTCCCATGTATTCTAGAATGGTTTTACGTCGTATATGTATATTAAAGTTATTACTGATTATAACCCGAAAGTTATTACTTGAGTATAACCCGAAGTAAAATTGCACATATATACAATATGTATTGTACTGTCACAATATTACGTAGTACTTCTAAAAACACTAAAAACAGACAGTTTACCGTTGCCACAACCTCTCAACAACATTCCACAACGTTTATGCAATGTTGCAATCTCGCATTTAAATATTCTCGCAATCTTACTGTGCTGTAAACATAGAACTTATAGACATGGCTGTAAATGGGAAGTAAAATTCACATATAATTATATAAATGTATATACAATATATGTATAATCATATATAAATTTTACTTCATATATATGTATATATAACATGTATATAAATATATGTGGGATATTAAAAAAAAATAAACATACAGAGTTGTTTTATTACTTTCCAAAATTGGATTCATAAAATTATGCGAAACGCAAAAATTTTTTGTGAACTTTGTTATTGGGTATATCATAAATGAGGAAATAAATTGAAATGACCTTTACGATAATTTGATATATTTATTCCATCATCAGGTGAGACGCAGCATAAATATAAATATATATGACATCAGTCAATTATTACAAATAATTACCGTAATTTTATAAATCTATAAATACTTATTATATTATATAAATAACAAGTATTTATAGATTTATAAAATTACGGTAATTATTTGTAACAAGTGACCCTGTCAGAAAGAACCCGTTGATCGACGTTGAAACGATGTCGCATCGACATCGAAACCGTCATATTTATGTCGATTCGACATCGTTTCGACGTCGATCGACGAGTCATTTCTGACTGGGGATTGATGTTATATATACCTACTTATGTTTACGCTGCGTCTCACCCGATGATGGAATAAATATCTCGAATTATCGTAAAGGTCATTTTAATTTATTTCCTTACATATGATATATACATAACAAAGTTCACAAAAACTTGTTGTGTTTCGCATAATTTTATGAATCCAATTCCCTCAAAAAATAAAACAACTCTGCATATTAATTTTTTTTAATCTCCCACATATATTTACATGTGTTTTTATATATTTGCTTAAGTTTTACATATCGTAGGATACGTTTAATCTGTGCTTTTTGCACGCAAGTGGTTAGCTCATGTATTAACGTATAATTTTGTACGTAAATATCTAACAATGTACAAAAATGGCTCAACAACGCAAGCAAAATCCTATCCCCATGCGTCGTCATAATGCTAGATGTTTGCGCGCGAAGTGTTTTCTGGGACATTAATCATTATCGTAAAGTAGAAAATTATTTTTTTTCCTCAGACAATAATCATGTTCCTTCTCTTATTCCTTCATTATGCAAAAAAGTTACTCAGTCAATGAACTAAACTCGATTTTGCTAACTTGATACTGTAAATGGGCCACTTGAGTTCACTTGTTCTTTTCTCTTTTCTCGACGTCTCCCACTCCCAAATTAATGGCCTGTCACTAATATGATTTCCTTTAAGTCTACTCCAAATCGTATTAAAATCTGTAAATCAATTTCTGATAGAATATCTATTTCTATGCACGATATCATGCATTTGTAACAATTTCGGTTTCAATAGCTGCCGATGGCACGATATTTTGTACAATTCCATTCCTTTAAAACCTCACGATTAAAAATACCTAAAGTATATTTCAATGTTTCTGTAATATCCTCAAAACAGATGAAAAGTGACATTTGCATAAAAATAGAATTTCCCGTAATTCTCAATAAATCCCGTAACACATGTATTAGGAACTGATGTGCATACGCGAGAATGTGCTGTAAAAAAAGATACGCCAATTGAATTTATATGATAATCGTACTTACATCCGCTTTACAGTAGAATTCTCATTAAGGCTCTCCAGTATTTCGTGTGCCGTTACGACCCAAGAGCCGGTATACGACTGACTACTACCGAGATCCTCTTTCAGGTATAGGTGAGTGGACAATATTGGCATCCCCTTCTCTCGCTGCGATGATGAGAAAATGGCCTTGATGCAACTTTCCTGGTGTGACTTCGAACAGTCCAATTTCACATATTCTTCTCTCGACGAATAAACTCGATATTTTGTCTTCCGAACGCAATCTTCGCCTTCTTGCAAAGAGCATTTCTCCGACAAAACCCAAACTATCCTTGTGCAATTTTAATACATGTAAACTTTAAATGTACGATAGACGAAATTATTTTGACTTGCATGATACGAAGATCAAAGGAACTCGGTAAAAATTTTTTCACACATGAACGTGAATAAATATATGTATAGAAAAACATGTATTGAATTTTTGTAATTATTTTCGATCTTAACGTTTAACATTTTGTAAATACTTCAATTTGCGATTTATATTTTTTACTTTCACATGCCTTAGTTTTCTTCCTATTGTTTTTGATTATTGGAGAGTCCTAAACTTCAGTTAGTGTAAATATACAGAATTATATAAAAATATACATCAAATATGTCCATTTTATACAATTTTACACAGTTCTATGTACTTTTATAATTGTGTACAATTGTACAAAGTTATGAATAAGCAATCTTTGCCATTAAAAAATATAATAAATTTATAAAATTATATACAACTGTGTAGAATTGTATAGAATAGTATAGAAATATACAATGTATGAATGTGGACATATTCCATGTATAATTTTATATAATACTATGTATTTATGCATGCTCGGGCATAAAAAATTTTTTACCGGAAAGTTAAGAATTTAATTAAACGCGTAGCCAATATGTATAATACGCTCTCACAATTCTCTTTGAACTGAAAAAATGAATTATCAACTATATCAACTGAAAAAATTACTATTAACTCAGTCAAATAATTAGGACGAGTCGAAATAAAATTCGATACGCGGCAAAGGATTACGATACGATACTTCTGTTCCATTAAAACGAGAACACTTTTCTTAATTGGAGCATGGCTTATTTAGAAAGCGGCTGTTTGATTAGCCGACAAATTGAATTATGCAAGTTTTATTCTTAATTTCTACATGACCTGATTCGAATTGAAAGAAGCCGTCGGTTACGATGTGTCAAAAGAACGATCCTCTATTTACATGCAACGGAATAAATAATGTAATAAGTATCGGCGATGTTTTATTTCTAATTTCACAATTAAGTCTGCGGCCTCACGCCGCTACGAATTTTTAATTTGCTTTGGTCTCGTTAAAATTGTGCGATCGCGAGCGTAATTTAGCACGTACGCCGTCGACCGATTGCGAAGTCGCCGACTGATCCATTTCGACGGCGTTTTGTAGAATCTGTGCCGCCAGACTGGAGATGCGCAGATCCTTGAGTTTCATTGAACTCTCCAGATACGCGATTTTGTGGTTCAAGGTGCTTATCACCTCCTCCTTTTCCTGCAGCTCCTGCTTCAGCTCCGCGTAAATCGTCCGTTTCGCACTTTCATGGTCTGCATCTTCAATTCGCTCTGTCGTCACGTCCACGAGCGCGTCGCCTTTGAACACGTTTGAACATTTATCAATCTTTATCGATCGCAGATTGTCTTATTCACAGAGTTGGGAAGTAACTCGTTACTCGTAACGAAGTTACAGTTACAGTTACTTTATCGGTAACTCTAACTTAACTTCGTTACTTTCCCTCCATCTCTAACTAACTCAACGCAGTTACGTTTTTCGATAATTAGTAACTAATTGAATAGTTACATTAATGTTGCTTTACATATTTTTTAAACCTCCACAGATCGCATTAGGTTTTGCACGTGCACGTAAACGCTTTTATCGACACTTAACAATTCAAACGTAACTGTAACTAGATTCCTTTATAAAGTGACTTTTCCACCTGCTTATTCATAAAATATCTTACGCCTGCGGTAACGAGGATGAATGCAATAGCTAAAGATGTTCCATATACGGAAGAGGCAGATAATCCAACTGAAGACAAAGAGGGCGCCCTGCTTGAGACACGTAAATTTCGACGGCTTAATTTCACGAGTTTCGTTATCGATATCGGGCTCGTTTGAACTTTCTACCAGTGATTTCAGGTAGCTATCGTTGTCCGCCGAGTTGTCCCCGATCTTCTCTCCTAGAAAGGGTACATTAAATAGGGTCGAACGAGACATTAGCCGCAGCATCGTTAAGCAAATGTGATTACTCGGTGTCTACGCGTCATTACCTTCTTTGAGCTTCGGCCTGTGCGCTTCTACACCGTCCTTTAGAACTTTCATTCTTAGCTTTGTCAAGAGTCTCTCGATTGCACCTTGCGACCCATTCGCCAGTTGATGGATCGCGTCGCTGCTCAATTTCATGTCAAGTTTCACGAGCACCTTTCGGTTCAACATTTTCCAATTCTCCCTCTTCGTGTTTACGCTATTCACCGGGACATAATTATGAAGCTCTACGTGCCGGGGATAATACAGCTTCAGCACCTCCGCCGTGAGAACTATCGAAGGACACAGTGATTCAGCATCCAATCAAATTCTGATTAATTCAATTTAGCATGACAAAAACAGTACAGCAAACCTAAGATACTGTAAGCGCAATATTCTCACAATTGCTGTTATTTCAAATGCTTTAATAATTTATACAAATTTATTGCTTCTACTTTTACTTGATTTTACAATTATTTAACTTCGAGAGAATTTGCATTCAGTCAGACTTGATATTCTAAAAATTTTGTGTTCTCTTAACTTAAGCTCTGAAATTTAAAAAAAATCCTATTTTAATAATAGTAGTACGTATTTTGACTTCAATAACACTGCAGGGTTAAACAGCGATAAACTTAAGAAGTAATATCTGTAACCTAACCACTTTATTGACAGAACAATTAATTTTGTATTGTTTAGTTTAATTTTTAGGAAAAAATTCAACAATTAAATTATATAGTTAAAAGCTTCGCTTTAAAGCAGTTCTGAATTGCCAATTGAATTGCTGATTAAAATTAATCAAAGTCAGTCGCAACGGCCCTTAAACATATCCGTTAAGAAGAGAAAAACGCTCCGGACGCGAGGACCAGCTCAAGATCGGAAAGTTTACCAGCATCCGAGAAATCTCTCGTCAAGTTTCTCGCAGGTCTGGAAAACGGGATGCCATCGATCCATTCGACGAGCTCCTTGTCGATCTGCACCGTGTCGCTGATCATCTTTCTTTCCTTTTATAGATCAATTTGCGATCAATTCATAGTCGGATCAGTTATTCGGAACGTTTCAATGTCACGCAAATAATCGACGAGGGAATTCCGGATCTGCTGTCATTTTCCTCGCGACACGAAGCAGAGCGAAATTGTCCGTCAAAACTACGCGACAGATCGACTAATTGATCTTCCTTTATTTCAAATCAATTTCCAAGATAGTCGATAAAATAAAGAAAAGAAAGTCAACCTTCGAGATGAATGCCATACATATTGCAGTGTATTTGCACACTGAGAATCGAAAAACAGTAATAGTCCCTGAATTTTTGCTCATTCTCAACTTTTAATCTTAATACGCAAATGCTTACTACAAAAAAAGTAATGTTCGCTGAAAAATGCAATACCATCTAACGACTAAGGTTGTAAGCGATATATTGTATTAAAGGAAACATGATTACTGAACAATTTTATTATTGAGTGATGTGCAATTCCGTAACCATTACTGTTGACCACCAGCATTAAAATAATACGTAAATAATATGTAGCCTAACAGTAGGGTAGAATTTTAAAACATATACATATAAATAGTTAGCTCATCGTTAGCGTACTAGACTAGTAATCCGAAATCTTAGTTTCAAATCCCACAAAGCGTTTCCAAAAATTGTAACATCCCACACAGCAAAACAAGTTTCAGAAAGCTTTCCGAAAGATAACTTGGAAATTAATATTGAAATGTAAAATTGAAATCATTCAGGAATATCTTTGAAACGCTTCATCAAAATTACATATCATTGAAAGCTTTCCAAAAGATACCTTGGAAATTAATATTGAAATGTAACATTGAAATCATTCAGAAGTATTTCTGAAACGTTTTATCGAAATCATTTATGATCCTTCTCACTGAAATATTTCAGAAATATTACAAAACATTTCAGAGAAATATTTCGTACGTAATCTCTAAAACATATGTTATTGAAAGCTATCCAACATATAACTTGGAAATTAATAGTGAAATGTAAGATAGAAATCATTCAGAAATATTTCTGAAGCATTTAAGAAATATTTCCGAAGCATTTAAGAGATATTTCTGAAGCATTTCAAAAATATTTCCGACGTATTTCAGAAATATTTCCGACGCATTTCAGAAATATTTCCGAAGCATTTAAGAGATATTTCTGAAGCATTTCAGAAATATTTCAGAAACATTTATGATATCTCAGCTTCGCGGACATTTCATGTATCTGAAACATGTCTGAAATATTTTTTTGAAAGGTTTCATATTTCATTGACAGCTTTTTGAGAGCTTTCTGAAATATTTCGATGTTGTGTGGGGTGTTTGCTGACTACTGAGTGATTTGATTCTATCTTTTTGATGTCTTTAAGATGTTCATTTATGCGAGTTTTGAGGTGTCGCTTGGTTTGTCCGATATAGGAAGCGTTACAATTCTTGCAATTGATTTTATACACTATTTCAACATTTTGGTCGTGTTTTAATGGATCTTTTTCTTTTCTTATGAGACAGTTTAATTTTTTGGGTACTGTTAATAAGGTACTAAGTCCCAATTCTCGGAGTTTGTGTTCAACATTGTCGCTTACGTGTTTTATGTAAGGGAAGCTTAGGTGAAAAGATCGAAGAGCTTGTGTTTGTCATTGTTTAAATTATCGTCATGTTGGATTTGTCTTAGTCTGGATTTTATGTGTTTTTCTATTAATTTTGAGGGGAAGCAGTTGTTAAGAAGAATGTTGCGAACTATTTGTATATTGTTTAGGTGGAAACTAATGTCGGAAAGAAGAATTGCTCTGTCGACCAGGTTTAATATAGTGTTGATTTTGTACTTGAGAGGATGGTTGGAGAAAAAGGTAATGTAACGTCCAGAGAATGTGGCTAGAGCTGTACCAGTTTGTCAGCAAAATTCCGTTGTTATTAATTACGCTCGTGTCTAGGAAATTGAGGGCGTGATTGGACGCAATTTCGAACGTGAATTTTAAACGGGGGTGGTAACTGTTAAAGACCTCGAGTAGTTCATCGAGATTGGAGGTAGGGATAATGGTGAAGATGTCATCAACGTATCGGTAAAAAGTTTTAACAGTGAAGCTAAGGGACTGCAAGCATTGTGTCTCGAGATCATCCATAACAATGTCACCAAGGATGGGCGACAAGGGGGATCCCATACATCATGTTAATATAAAAATTAACAAATTCTTCTCTAATTATCTCTTTTAACTCTCTTTTAACTATAACGTTAAAGTACCAATGTTTGAATATGTACTTAAAATCTACGATTCTTTGTGTCCTCTTTAAATCAATTTTCAATCATTTTTGTTTGGGTAACTTTTAAGTGATAAATTAAATCATGATGACGTCATTATGACGTCATTATGAGTTTTATGTTCTACCTGGGAACGGATGACTTATGGATATTCTCAATGTCCGTAAAGGATATTTATAGAACGGTTTTCGGATATCCGTGTGCTGTCTGGGTTTCGATAAAACGTTTCAGAAATACTTCTGAATGATTTCAATGTTACATTTCAATACCCAGGTAGAACATAAAACTCATAAT